ACACTAATGTCACAACGTCCCTAACATGGTTCAAGGTATACTATTATAATGAAAGATGCCAATTCATACAGATAAAGAAATTACTGCTAATAAACATGACGAACAGGAAATCATAGTCTTGTTTACAAACATTGTTATGCCAAAATAAAAATAAATGTCACAAAGAAACTGAAAAAATGGCAGAACACAAAGACGTTGAACTAGAGATTACCAGGAAGTGGAGCATGAACACAATCATTCCTCCTGTTCTGCCGAGGCGCTGGGTTTCTGGCTACATGTCGAAGTATCGGAGAAATCCAGATAAGATCCAAACTTTGGTAGAGAAATGAAGAATGGTGATTGATGGATGGGCGTGTGTGTATATTTTGTTCTGTGCCTGCACATGCTGTCATTAATTGACACTGTTCTAAATTCAGCGTATAGTCCGCACACCTGATCACATTATAGTCACAGCAACGCCTTGCGCCTAAAAAATCTCACTCAGACGAAATGATGCTCGATTCTTCACAAAGGGTAGATATGCGTGCATCAATTAATAAAAAAAAATATATATATATATATATATATGTATATATATATATATATATATATATATATATATATATATATATATATTTAAATATATATATATATATATATATATATATATATATATATATATATATATATATTCTTCACAAAGGGTAGATATGCGTGCATCAATTAATTAAAAAAAAAATTGTATATATATATATATATATATATATATATATATATATATATATATATATATATATATATATATAGATAGATAGATAGATAGATAGATAGATAGATAGATAGATATAGATATATATGTATATACACACACACACATACAGGGTCATCAAAGGATTCCCATGAATGAAACTTTAAGGTCTTCATATCATTTTCGACAGTGACGCCAGAGTGTTACAGTGAACAGTCAACATCACAGGAATATCATTTTAATGATGACGTTTTAGTGATCCTTCTCGGACGCTTTCGTTTGGATTTTTTTTTAAAGAACTTGCATTCTACTATGAGGCAAAGGAAACGTCCCAAGAGAAAAAAGGAAAAGCATCATGCAAACTCTGCTGATGTACACCAAATTGCACTGTGTATTTGGAATGCATGAAGGAAGGATTCCCTTTTTTCACTCCTTTTCTCTCTCTCTCTCTCTCTCTCTCTCCCTCTCCTGTTCTCCATCCCTCCTTGTCAATCACTTTTTCTCTCTTTTTTCCTGTCCCTCCCTTCATCCCTGTCATTTTAGTCTACAGTACTTACCCTAAACCAAGTTAGAATACCCAATTCATTCAACACTGCATTTTGCTGGGAGGTTTGCTGGAGTTACATTCTTATCATCAAATTATTTTAGGAAGAGCAAAAAGCATGGTAGACGAGTGCTGCAAATATACATTATACTGTACATGGCACAATAGTAATTTAAAATAATCATGAGACTAGTTTCCAAGACTAGGAATAAGAATGGTGTTCCATGTTCCTGGATCCCTGTCATGAAAAGAGAGAGAGGGGGTGAATTCCTCTGCAGTTACATATTTTCCTTACACAAGCAAGGAGAAAGTTATGGATCATGTACAGAAATAATTTATAGATGCAGCTATACACAAACAGGCATAAATACAAGAATATATTTATGCAAATTCTCTCTCTCTCTTGAGATAAAAGTGTATAATTTCCTTTCTCTGTTTATGTCTTCTCCATATTCCCTGTGAGTTTGTAATACTGTCAGGCCTATTATTTATCATTATTGTTACTTTTGATTGCATATATGCTATATATTTTTCTTGGGTTACTTCTCCCTAGAGGTTTTGGAGCCTCATATTTTACAAAATCAATAAAAAAAATAGTTTTTTTCTTGATGTCCAATACACAAATGTATATTCCTTAACATGTCAAAATAAAAATATGTCTCCTAATATATTCTAATAATTTCCTTTGGATTGAACTAAGGACAAATAATATAATCTGTAATGTTCTGTCCTGAGTGGTCCTCTTCTTCTTTCTTTTTAAGTTTAGGCCTAAGGGAGTTTTCAAGTTCAAATATTAAATATGTGAGGTCCTTTGCATGCAGATTGTTTTTCGAACCACAGCCAGTTTAAATATAAGGCAAATGTCTTCAGTTTATCCCATCAGTTTTGATTCTTATATAATGATATCTGTTCATTATGAGCTTGGGTTGTGTTTTACACCTGTGCAACAACAGCTACTTTTAAAGGAATGACTTTTTGTTTCATAACATCTAAAAATAATTTTTCTTAATATCAAATGTTGAGATGTGAAAATACAAATAAAATATGATTCTAATACACATAATCAATATACCAGAGAACTGGAAGTGATTATAAGATCAAATTTTATATCTACATCAGGGTAAGTCGTAACAGCATTATCAAATATAATGGCAAACACATAAATATTGGTTATCGTAATAAAGTATATAATTCATCAAAGTCAAATAGGGCTATAAAACCAGAAAATATTTAAATAAAACAATGTATTTACAAAACAACATATGAATTACTGTATCACTTATTTTTTATGAAACTGTATTTGGACTCTTCCTTGATGTACATTTATTCTATGCCAAGCATCATTTTGGAAGCTTTTAACATCCATGGAGTCTATATAAAGCTTTCCATCAAGATGTTCCATTTCATGCTGTATTATTCTCGCTAACCATCCTTTAGTTTCCAGTTCCAATTCTTCACCAGACTGGTCCTGTCCTGTAAATACAAAGGTATTGATAATATAATCTTATATGGTTCATTCTGTTTTGTTAAAGTGTTTTTCTTTCGTATCCTCTCTGGACTGGCATGTATAAAAATATTTAGCTAACTAGTAATACTAACCAACAAGTTTTACAGCCTTGAATCTTGGTACCATAGCACTATAGCCCCGGAGACTTTCACAGGCTTCAGGGAATGTAACCTTTTTATAATCTAAAATCTCCATGTGTGGATTGATGATTACCTGGAAGTAAACATACAATGTAATGCAATAATGGAATCATTATTACAGACACAGACAGTAGTTCTATGCACTTCATCTGAATGTTGAAAGCTTTCTGATTTCTATTAAGTAAAAATAGAAAAATATATGAAAAATAGAATTTATAGTTAAAAAAAAAATGTAAATTCATATAACACTTATCATTTGTTGTGACAAATGACAAAACATCAGCAATATCCTTACTCTCAAAACAATACAATTTAATACTTACTGTGAAGGGAAGAATGGACATTTCTCGTGCAGCATAAACTTCCTCTCCAAACTCCTTCTTGCGTTTTGGAGAAAACTCCAAAGTTATTATTCTGAAAGATTCATCAATCATGAAGTATCATGCATGATAATTATATTGATATTCATAAGGCCTGGGATACAATTCATCCACAAATTATGTAATAATGTAGTTAAAAAGGAACACCTTTATATGTTCAGAATTCAAAAAACAAATATTTTTCTCACCTGAGTGGAACACCAATTTGTGGGGCAGCAAGGCCTACTGCATCATATGTCTTCATTACTTGCCTCATTTGTGATATAACCTAAAAATATAACATGGCATTAATTTACAGTATAATCAAATCAGTGTCTAAAAATAGTGAAGAACTTGCATGCAGTGTAAGTGAGTGAGTAAGTGAGTTAATGAGTGAAAGAGGGTGTGAGTAATTGTGTGTGAAAGTAAGTGTAAAAGATAGAGTGAAAATAACATCACCATCAATACTATGTTATCCACATCACTATAAGGTACCAAAAGAACCTGTCAGTTACAAACCTACAACTGACTGCTGGAATGTAGTGCTACTCATCAGCAAACACGCATATTCTCGCCATCAACACAAAAGATACTTTTGATAGGATTAGGTATTAAGGGCTAGTGGGAAATTTACATTTATGTGGAGGGGAAGGAGAACAATGGGCCCTTTATCAAGAAATACCTAAGAACTCAACAGATGTGCGTGGTTCTCTGTAATGAACACTCAACTAGCATAAAGGCAGTCACCTAAAGGAGCAAATTGGGTCCAATCATGTGGAGTATCTTATTTAACAACATGCTTTAACTTATCTACAAAGCTAGAACACTTTTAGATAATGGTAATTTGTCAATTACCTGATAGTAAAGCTTAGAATATTGTAATAGCAAAGGTAAATGATAAGATCAAGCAAATCTCAATGTGAAGGAATAAATGTGAGGTCCTTTTAGCTACAAACGTAACCCAGTTCAGGGTCATCAAGAGATCTGTCAATCACTTCCACATCAACTTTTAGTCAACAATAATAGGCCCACAAAATAAAACAGAAATACTGAAAATTATCTTTAATGGTGATCAAAACATATTGAGAATCTGGCAAAGAGAGATTCCCAAAAGCTTAAAAACCTTAGCAAATTTAGCTGGTTACTTAACCCAATGAGCACAGGTGTCAAGACTACAATACCAGGCCCACTGTAATAAAAGTTTTATTCATTGCCTTTACACATAGATGGCTCTACAAATGCTTAGTCACCAAGGAGTCAGCTATTAGTCTTATCTATCTCATCTGCTTACCTTTTTCCTTCATTTTTTTGAAAGCTTTACTTCTATTATTTTATTGTCTTTGATGTTATTAATATTCTAACAACAATTTAAAAACTATAATATCAATAAAAATAACAACAATGTCAATGTTAACCCATTGCCGCCGGGGAAATTGAACAAAAAATGGGGGAAATTCTGTACTCATTTTTTATATTTTTGTGAAATATCTCTGTCCATAGATGGCTCTGCTAGTCCTTATTTCACCTTTCCTTGAATTGGCAGGAAAAAACGTATTCTTACTAGTGCTATAAATAAAGATGGTGTTATTTTTAACTGCAAATTAGGATAACGTTAAATATTTTTGTAAATCGATGAAAAGAGTGAACGGGCAAGACAGGCAGTACTCGTAATTGGTTCATTGGTGACTTAGTACAAGTGCAGCCATCTATGTGTAAAAACAATCGAACAAGTCGACTCACAATGGGCATGGCATGTACGTACATGCTATCCCCAGCGGAAATGAGTTAATAGTATTGGAAAGAAAAACACATTTTCCCGCCAATTCAAGGAATGGTGGAAATCAGGGTCAGTCACTAGGGCCAAGTGATAGACTTCTTACTGCTGAGCACATGTGGAGCCATCTGTATATAACAAAACTAACTAGAATCTAAAGGGAACAGTAAATAAACCCGATGACATTGGGGTAATAAAGATGGAAAAGAAAAACCCTGCACGCCAGAAATTTTCTTGTCTTTTTAGTACTTAATCCTCATACTGGAGGGCAGCTACCTAGCATCTGAATACCCTTGAGAGAATACACACGAGTAAGAAAGCCACCCCAGGATAAGATACCATCTCAACAGATCAAACTTATCAGTCTAGAACATGGGAGATTTGCAGCTGACCTAACAGCATCAAGATGTTCACATGCCTGCAAATACTGAGACTATGTAGGTCTGTAGGTCCCACAACTAGCATTCGTTTCCAAATATTGAAAACTATGAAACACATATTAAGAGTAAAAGGATATACATTACAAATAATAAATGAAAGCAGATGTATAAAGCCCTTTCCAAAATATAACAATGTTAACTCTCAGTCATGTTTAGCTTTATACAACTGTGACCTCTCACAAAAAAAAGAAAAGGGAAAGTGAAAGAGAAAGAGAGAGGACAAACAGAAAGACATGCATGCAGATGGACAGAAAATTGGGCACATTAGGCACAAGATCTTGTATTTTGAAAATTAAGTTATACTTTGGGGGGGGAGGGAAAAAAGTACATATTTCACACCTGCTTTGTTTCTGGTTTGGGAATATCTTCAGGTGGTACAGGCAAGGCTTTACTTCGCAAAACAGGGTCACCAACTTGACAAACATGGAGGAAAGGTGGTTTCACAGGTTTTGGCAAGAAAATATTCCGGTATGCTGCAGCAAACTTATGCATCGTGGGAAAGTCACCTGCAATGAGAATATAACTTAAAATATGCAGAATCCTTAAAAAGTTACGTAAGGTATATATACAGTCTTGTTCTTATTTTTTTAAAGAAAAATATAAATTTATTTATGTATTTTTACATAAATATGTATATCTAATATATATAATATAAACTAATGTGTGTATATATATATAAATATATATATATATATATATATATATATATATATATATATATATATATATATATATATATATATATATATATATATATATATATATATATATATATATATATATATATATATATATATATATATGTATATATGCATATATGTATATATGTATATATATATATATATATATATATATATATATATATATATATATATATACATATATATATATATATACATATATATATATATACATACATATATACATATATATATATACATATATGTATATATGTGTATATATATATATACATATATACATATACACATACATATATGTATATATGTATATATGTATACATATATATATATATATATATATATATATATATATATACATATATACATATATACATATATACATACATATATGTATATATGTATATATGTATATATGTATATATATATATATATATATATATATATATATATATATATATATATATATATACACATATATACATATATACATATATACATATATACATATATACATATATACATATATATGTAAATATGTATATATGTATATATGTATATATGTATATATGTATATATGTATATATGTATATATGTATATATGTATATATGTATATATGTATATATGTATATATGTATATATGTATATGTATATGTATATGTATATGTATATGTATACGTATATATATATATATATATATATATATATATATATATATATATATATATATATATATATATATATATATATATATATATGCATCATATGTTTGTGCACGTTCATGGGTACGTGTGTATATGTATGTTGCATGTGTGCATTGTGAGCTAGTGCATGTAAAGTAAAAGTTTATAAGTCATCCAAATAAACTAGCCTGAAGGCAGATGCCCTATTACTGTACTTTAACAAAAAAACTTCCACCAGGTATGAATTCAGGAATAAAAGATTTTCTAAACAATCTAATAATTTATAATCAAATTCATGCCAAAATTTTCATGGCCGAGGTTTACTGGAGTGAACTGCAGAAAAGCTACAGCCAATATTAACTTAGAATGATATATGACAGATATCTGTTAGCTTTTACCGGAGCACAATTATGAGGACCTTGGGAATAATAACAAGAAAAAAAATCTGGTTTGAAATCCACTGTATTACATCAAAACTAAACATTGGCATTATGTTATTCCGTATCCAGTGCTTATTAGTTTTACTATACAATATCATTCATTCAAAGAATTTAGACATTCTTATAATATGTATAGCTGTAAAATTACAATGAACTACAGAGTCTGATATAAAGAGTGAACTACACTGAAGCACAAATCGTCGTTTTCGCCGGTACCAAATGTTTTTGTTTACAATATGGAGAAAATTGCGAACACGTCTTTACGAACGCTGGTTTACGAACACTTTCGTAACGAACATGATTTTGTGAATAAGATCTTTTTGGTATCTAATTGTCCATATACATACATACATACATATACATATATGTACACACACACACACACACACACACATATATAATATATACATATATATATATATATATATATATAAACAGACATACATAAATGGAATATACATATATTATTATTGGTTATAGTTATTTTGCAATTACTAATATCAACAATATTATTGTTGTTTTGTCGCCGGGACTTTGCTAGGTCCCAGAGATTGATTTCTGGTTTCAGACATCCAACCTGCATCACAGGTCATGGGAGAGTTTACTGGAGTGCCGAGCTCCGTAGTAATGATCATAGGCTGGTTGTGACTGCCTTCAAAACTCCTTTGGCCACTCCAGGGTGTTTCACTTGGACAGACTGAGGGTGGAGGAGTGAGCCCGGAGGTTCGCCACGGCGGTCTCTGATCGGTTCACAGAGTTCGAAAATCTGACGGACCCAGTGACTCAGTGGGATTCCTATAAGCGCGAAACACTCAATGCAGCTCTGGAGTCAATTGGTGAAGGGCAAGGCAGAATTTCGTCTTACTGGAGAGACTGGAGGCCACAGATGCGTGTTGCATGGATTGACTGTATGGCAATCAGGGTTTATGTAGGGGTAGGGCACTGCCAAGAAGGGGCAAGGAACAGTTCATGATCAATCTTGCTGAGGAGGTTGAAGGCCATTTCTTAGTAAATAACCTTCGTCCCGCCTACTAAGCCCTGATAAAACTGAACTCCAAGCCCTCGCAACTGATTGCAGTCAGCTCAGTTGATGGGTGGATCATCTCGAATTATCTGAGGGATATCACATATGCAGCCACATGTGATATCCCTGCTGAACTGCTAAGGGTTGGGTGAACCTGTGGCACATGGATTACATACGGTCTTGACTGCCATTTGGCAGTCTGGCTCCATTTCCCCGGACCTATTGAGGGGCGTTGGGACTGACATCACAGTCAGTATACCAGGCAAGGTTTTCGTTCACATTCTTCTGAAACGGGTCCGCGACCACCTACTAAGGCACCAGGCACCGGAGCAGTCTGGATTCACTCCTGGGAAGACCACAATAGACCGTATCCTAGCGCTTCGAGTCATTGTGCAATGCCGTCATGAGTTTGGTCGTGGGTTCTTGCAGCCTACATCGATTGTAGCCGCTGTTATATCACATACTTAATATCAGCAACTGGTATGTCATATATTTCGTATATCACATATTCTGTAACAATACGGAGAGGCCTGTTTAGTATAAATTCATCGTCTGTGTCACAAGGCGACAGCGAGTACCACCGGGTCAACACATGGTCTGTATCAGCCATAAGAGCTGACCTGTCAAGAAACGTGTTTGTGTGAGGGGTCGTGCCATAGGAAGTGGTGACGGATCTTCATATGATCGATGCTGTGAGATAACAAGATCGCGACCTAACTAATGTGTAACATTTGAAGTAGAATGTTACTTGGCGTTGTAGCCTGTGTATATTTATAGTGTGAGGGCTGTTTGAGAACCTCCGTGCCGTCGAGACGCCCATATCATTTTGGAATCAAACTGTTAAGCTGATATTCTGACTTCCCGCAATTCGCATGTATTCAATATTTGTAGAAAGTTCTTATTATATAGTTTAGCGTGTGTTTTTATTTAGTGGCTTTGTATATTGTGTGCATTTGTACAATCGATGTATTATCTAACAGGTTTGACCGCTACTGAATAAACCTTGACCGGGTGCTACGCAGTGGTATCAGTCACCCCAGACCCATTGAAAAATCATAGAAGTTTGACTCGGTGCACCGCGAATCCTTATGGGAGATCCTGAGACTGGAGAGAATTCCGACACGGATTAATGGTTTAATACCAAGCCTATATACTGGTACTGAAAGTGCTGTGAAGTGCAGTCGGGGCCTGCCGAATTTCTTCCCAGTTAATTGCGATGAGGACGTAGTCACAGAGAGTTTTACATACGTTGGTAGCGCAGTCCAGACGGATTGGTCTGGCAACAAGAACTCGGTCAACAAGACCGTTTGGAGATGCAGAAGGACCAAGCTACGTGCCCTCAAATAGTTTTACTGTATGGAAACGAAACCTGGACGCTATCTAGTGTCTTAGAGTCATGTCTTTTGTAAAAAGTCCCTATGCTGGATAATATGGTACAGTTGGCAGGACCATGTGTCCAACCGACGGCTACACCGTGAGACTGGCATGGGACATGTTATTTGGATAATCAGGGCCCGCCAACTCAGGCTGTACGGGCACCTAGCTCGTTTCCCGGTGGATGAGTATTATTAGATTATCACTACTTTTATATTTACTCTTACCATTACTATAATTATTAACAGTATTTTTTATTTTCATTATCATTGTCATTATTGTCATTATTTTGATCATCATTATCATTACTATCATCATTAGTGTACTGTATTGGACTGTATCGCCAGGTCATCTCATTCACAAGTTCCCAAGCAGATATGACAATATGAATTGGTTTATCTTTTTATCTGTCTTGTTCTGCTTTTTGTCCCAAAGTTTGAAACAAAGTAGAAAGAGTTATTGTGCTCGAAGATAGAGTTATACAAGAAAACGTCTGTCACATTTTCTGTTGTATTTATGTAGGGAAGTCTCTTGTTTGAGGAAAATGGTTTCTTGTTTAGGAAAAATAAAGTCTTGTTTGAAGAAAATTAAGTTTCTTGTTCGAAGACGCAAAAAACATTTATGTTTTAAGGCATGTAGAAAGATAATGTTATGAGAAAAGCTATCAGGCAAACATCTGTCTCCTATTAAATGGTAGAAAGACAAGAGGTCAGTCTTAAAGAAAAATATTGAAAATTTGCAACCGACGTCCTGTCTTCGAGTCCTGATACTTATGCACCGCCTATCATATAGTAAATATCTTAGACGAAAGTTACCTAGGGAGATATTGAAAGTAAACATCTTTTAAAACCGTGAGGAATACTTACACTGGGTTGGAATATGAGCATATTAACAACCTTTTCATGCAGCATATGTATGTGTATCGCTTGTCTTGATTTTGAGTCTCAGTTTGAGCCACAGATATGTATAAGTTCTGCCTTTTGTCTTAAAAATGTTTATCTAACCCAGCATAGCCTAATGACAAATTAAGATTACAAAGTTTACCCATACTATTATTGCTTTGTCTTCAGCACAGTTAGATATAAAGTGTAAAATCAATATTTGATATAATAGAAAAGTGCACTGTACTATGTTCAAATTGCATATAGAACTACCAGGAAATTTGGCCTGAGAAATCCAAATATTATGTGAAAATAATCATGGTGTACATAGTATAAAATCCTTAGATATTCAAATTATATTATATGAAAATAATTATGTTGCATATAGTATAAAATCCATAGATATTCAGTTTGTGAAATGTGATACAGAATGCTATTTCATAACTAATGCACAGACTTAAGACCATGAAGCAGATATAAACCTTAAAAATGCTTAGTAAAAGTCTATGGAAGGCTCTAGTTCCTAAAATTTGGGAATTTTATAATGACATTTTGTTATCTCTTTCTTGGCAAAACTAACACACTTGTGACTGTACTATATTTTTTAATAATATTAAAAAATTCACCTGTAATTTTCACCAAAGCCTGTTGTATGACTCCTACAGAAGTGCTTCTCAACCGGTAATAGTTAAAGTGTGAAAGTCATTCTAATAATTTTATTTTCAATCATCTTTTTGAAGGGACCCTATACAACATACTATTATTATTCTTGTTTAATTTGGAAAATAAATGTATTTAAAAAATGTGATCAACTATGTATGTCCAAGAATAGAATTTATAAACTGACAAACTATTTATTTAATTTTCTTCGGAAAAAAACAACAACTCAGTGTTTCCTCTTTTGGTCTGTGATGACTTTCCATCAATAGGGTTTCCATGTCGGAAAAGTAACTGAACCATGATAAAAACATGGATGCATGCATGCATACATATACATATATACATATATATATGTGTGTGTGTGTGTGTGTGTGTGTGTGTGTGTGTGTGTGTGTGTGTGTGTGTGTGTGTGTGTGTGTGTGTGTGTGTGTGTGTGTGTGTGTGTGTGTGTGTATTTATATAATATATATATATATATATAATATGTATGTGTGTGTGTGTGTGTGTGTGTGTGTGTGTGTGTGTGTATGTGTGTGTGTGTGTGTGTGTGTGTGTGTGTGTGTGTGTGTGTGTGTGTGTGTGTGTGTGTGTGTGTGTGTGTGTGTGTGTGTGTGTGTGTGTGTGTGTGTGTGAAATTTTGAGTATTAATACACATCATACATATGAAGGACCCTTATGTACAAGTGTAGAAAAGGCAAATGATATATACTGTACATACATATTCTTATGAAAATAGGTTTAATAGTTTAATAGTTGGCTCACAAAATTTAAAAGGATAGGCTTTAAGAGAAAACACAATTATTTATAATAAATTCTCTATTCAGTTTAAAACACCTTCACATTTTTCCTCGCATACAAGATATTTAAATACACATTATATATAATTCCTATCATTCTTGACCTCAGATACAGAGAAATACTGCTTTCACTGTTCAAGAAAAAGTATAACAAAACAAAAAATAAATATATCATACATACATACTAAATATATGATAATACAACCTCAGGGGGAAGAGTTCCAGACTTGGGAGACAAAATAACAACAACAACAACAACATAACCTTTGTAGTAATGAACTTAGAGGGAGTCCTTGATAAAGATTATCTGATTTCCTTTGTACAAAATCTGACCAATCACACCCAAAAGATTTTCCCTCCTCCCAAGTACAAAGAAGAGAAGAGAAAAATATGGAAGGGAGAGACGGGGAGAAGAGGCAATGTTAAAGAGGAGAGAGAGAGAGAGAGAGAGAGAGAGAGAGAGAGAGAGAGAGAGAGAGAGAGAGAGAGAGAGAGAGAGAGAGAGAGAGAGAGAGAAATGGGGTATGAAGGGATGGAGAAATGGAGGGGGAGAGGGGGAGAGGGAGGGAGGGAGAGGAGAAGAGAGGAGAGGAGAGGAGAGGAGAGGAGAGGAGAGAGAGAATTACAACAGCCTGAGGGGGAAAAAAAAAATTATAAATAAAATAAAATAAAAAGGACACACCATCAAAAGTATAATAAGAATGAGAGACTCGCTTACATGTGATCTCTACAGGCACATGTCACCTAGACAGGAAGCCACTTCATAATTTTTATCAACATTTTTTTTGTTTTTGTTTAGTTTTTTTGCATTTATAGATAAAAAGAGATGCTTCCAAAAATCCCTGCGGTCTCTTGGCACAGCATAAAAATCATATATATATTTGAATAAATCCATTATGGCCTACTATTTACAGCATTATGGGTGAAGAACATGAGGAATATGAATGTTACTAAAGCGTCACCTTGGACAGATGACTCATGAAAGAATTTGTACTTAAAGCTGATGGTGATAGCCGCCCTACCATGCACATGTCTGTTCCTTTTTTTTTTTGCTTTTTTCCCATTACTTCCAACTTTACATATATGGTTCTTGTTTGCATTGAAGTTCTTTTCATCGCTTTCTTTTTATTTTCGTTTTTCCCATATGAAAAACCTGATTCTAACAGGAAGCTAGGAATTAAGACTCACAGTGATAACGACGCACTTGTGATAATAAAATGATTATCGTCACTTTTGTGATTAAACACTTTTTTGCTTCTGAATGACATGGTAATGATTACAAAATATGTAGAGAAGAGAAAGAAAGAAAGGGCAAGAGAAAAAGATTATGACAACGAAGAACAAAATTACTTTGGATACTTTCTGACATCAGAGCATTTCTCTCCTTATGGCATTGTGGGGAAAAAAAGTAAAAGATTAAAGTGTCATATGCAAGAGTCAATAAATAAGTCTTAATGGCCTACAATTAAGGTGTTTGATTCGTGACGTTTAACTATTCCTTTATTCAAAAGTCAACTCTTAATCTTGGACAGCCAACTGCCACAGTAAGAGAGATGAATAATTAATAAATACGAGGCCACTGAAAGAATCCTACAAGTGTATTTTCCTTTTTTTTCTGACTGAAGGAAGGAGCAGTGGATGGAAAAGTTATCTCAAAATGACTCTTGAAAGATTTCACTAAGTATCGTATTTTGTGCTGAAAACTACCTACAACACAAATTACACCTAAGATGAAATACCTACTTTTTTCCTCCTTATTTCTTGCTGATATTTAAAATGTGAGAGAGGAAGGACAGAGAACATTGCTGTCTGTCATTTACAAAGAGGTGTTAAGAAAATTGAACCTGCATGCCCTCCCAACTGCATGAACATCCACATCCCACAATAACTTTACAAACTGCTACATCCAAAAAATTAAAAAAGGGGTTAAACTTTCTTTCTTACTACCTGATCCATCAGCATAAGAAAGAGAGGATTCCCAACCTTCTAAAAGCTCAAATTCACTCTCCTTCTATGTGTTAAGGCACTCCTGACTGGCCTTTTCACAGCAAGATCACACTCCTCATTGAAGACTCCGACACAACTTCACACTGTACATTGTAATTCACATTATGGCACATTTGTAAGGATTGTACAAAGCTGAGCTCCACAGCTGCAGGCTGTCAGCAGGGATCGTTCTTGTTACAAATATTACTTGTCTTTTAGAACTAATATAATATGTTCATCAAATGATACTGGCTAGATGAACAGCATTTACACATTCATTTCTTCTCTAATGTTGCTCAACAGACTGAGCTTAAAGTTTTGGAAGGAAAACCAATAAAAGAAAAAATCATAATAGAAAAAAAAGTGAGAAAAAGAGAAACATGAAGCACAAGATCACCAAAGAATTTTAATCTAACTTTCTATCACTTTCCTGCAAGCTCAATTTGAAAGTATATATATATATATATATATATATATATATATATATATATATATATATATATATATATATATATATATATATATACACACATATATATAATGTAATTAATGAAAAAACTATCTCAGGAACTCTGTAATTTTGGAAGATTACCTCGAAATTTAAAATTTACAAATTTCAGAACCCTCTCTCAAAACTAGAAATGATAACTTTATCATACACATTAAGACTTGGTTTCCCTTCCTTCAGTGGTGTTGGTATTGCTGCCATGAAAAGAAAAGAGGAGGAGGAGGAAAAGAAGAAATTAAAAAAAAAAATCACAAGCAGCTTCACACTGGCACCTGTCATATCAATGTTATGAAGCAAAAGACGTTCAGAACATCAGCTCTCCCAATGTGTGCACTGCTTTCCTTCCTGCTGAGATAAGCAGGCAATGTCTTTTCTTCTCCTGGCTCTTGGTAGGTGGGAAGGATTTGTAGCCTTTGATCACCGGGACGTAGGGTACCTCTCTCCTTCCTGCTTTGTGACGCGGCGGTAGATCTCCTCCGGCAAGTTTTCAGGCTCGGCCAATACATTTGTGGTTGTGCTCAGCTTTCGCATTGAGTTTGAAACCACTGTGGAAAAAAAAGTGTAAGTGTGAAATCAATATCTTAACTACATTTATGGTGTTTAGCTGTAAATATATAGCTACCTTGTTACAATAGTTGAGGTTGATGGGATACTCAGTCCCAAAGTGATATTCAAATGTAGTTCATTATTAATTTGGTCAGTCAACACATTATCTATATATCAATAGAAACAAATCAACACTAATGATTGATACTTACAGGGACGTAGGACATTGAGGGAACACTGCTGATCCAGCCAAGCTAAAGAAGAACGGCACAAGTCATCCAAAGAGTTGATGCTTACGCTGTTATTGTAGGATTCTAACAGTGGCTCCGTTATAAGGGAAAAAATCCAGAATTTCCAGTTTGCTAGTGTACGTTCCCGAACATAGTTATTGAACATTTCCTTGAGCTTGCTATGACGGGCATGTGTCATAGGGGCACCAGTGGCAGGCAGTAAGGATTGTGCATTGCTGTAAAGAAAAGAGGAAAATACATTAATACATCAATATATATGAAAAATACAGTAACAATTTACAGTAACAGAAGTCGATCCTGTATATGGAAATCATGAAGTTTATAAACCATGAAAAAAGCCTACCTTATCTCAAGACTGAGGCTTTCAATCTGAGCACGGAACTTTTCTGCTTGGTCACTCAGCTGTTGCCTTTCAGCTTTCAACTGCTGGATGTACTCGGCTCCTTTTTGTAGCATGGCTGCTTTACTTATCTGAAAAATGAATAAACCGTCTTACTCACATATTTAGTAACAAGTGATTATAATGAAAAATTAGCTGTCCTCTTATGGGGAAACACCTAGAAAATGTAATGTACTTGGATAGTGATTTACGTATCAAAAGACATGTAAATTCCATTATAGTTTAACATGGCATTATATACCTATGGTGTGAGTTCCTGCTTCTTGCATGCCTTACCTTTGCATTATGATTTTGACTGATGGAAGGAATAAGTTGATGCATTATATCAAAATTGTTTTTCAAGTTTGACCGACGTTTCTGTTCCGCATTGATGTGGCAGACTCGCCTGTGTTCTTTGTATTGCACGCGTTCCACATCACTCTTGGGTCTGAAAATGTAATGAGGTTTTACTTAATTTGCATATTTCAGAAGTGAAGGTGCCTACATAAACTGTCCTGAGAATTCTGAGAAAGTTTGTGTAAAATATAGCTGAAGCAATAATTTGTACATTGTAAAATTATACCTGAAAGCTTTCGTAGGTGGTGAAGGGACATTCATCATCAAGGGTGAAGAAGGTTCCGGGTGAGGTGGAGACTGCTTTATTATACCCTGTGGTGAGCATGGACTCCATGGTGATAACTGCAGGGAAATTAAAATACATCATTGCATACCATTGCCTGTATTAATGCTGCATCAATCATACCCAATAAGGGATTCTTTCTTTTAAATTTCACTTAGAAAAACTCGTCATTCCATAGAAAGAAAGACAACCTTCCACACTAACCTGGCTGAAGCTCTGTGTCTTGAGAGTGGAGGGGGTTACAGCAGAGAGTGTGATTGGTGGCATGAGTAGGGGTGTTGACACGCTGGGCTTGATGTTGGTGACGCTGTTGATGCTGCAGAGGCTAGAACTACTGCTGCTGCTACTGCTGCAGCTGCTGTTGCTCGAGTTTCCAGTAATAACTCCAGGTATGACCAAGGAAACTTTGACATTGTTGCAGCTCTTGTTGTTTCCCAGGTTGTTTAGCTGGTTGGTGCTGCCAATGGTTGCCAACTGATTTGTGTTGGTTGGCTGGCTATTGCAACTGACTGAATAAGACCCTGAAATAAAAGGGAAATAATTTTTATTACCTCATGAGACATGTAATTACCTATGTTCTAGCTTCCACGGTCGATTTCCCTAAGCCACTCTACCTTCCCACAGCCCACTACAGACCTGATGTAAGAAGTTGAGCAAGTAAAGCTGATCCCGCTGGTGAACTGGTTGGGGCGATCACTGGTGCAGTCACGAGAGATGTGCCTGATGCTTGAACCGAGGCTGTGGGGGGAGCAGTAGGGGCCACATGCGACAAGGATGTGGCGGTCATCGAGTTCAGAGCTGGAAGCAGGTGCGGCAAACTTGTCACTGGCACAGAACTGATCACCTGATGGGGGGCCAGGGAAGGCGATCCTACGAGGCCACTGCTGCTGTTACTCCCTCCTGAACTATGGGATCGGCGTCGAGGTACGGCCTGAAATTGTAAAACAAAATTGTGCTTTAATTGCTAATTCGATTGCTGTGGTATATAAAATTAATTGTTATGTTAGGCAAGGAAAGTAGAATACAACAATGCAATAAGTCTCCATCTATTAATAAACCTATTTCACTTATTTTACATGTTAGTATCAACAAAAACTGTAAAATGTAAAGGTAGAAAGTGAGAAGATATTTTATTCAATTATATGATTAAATAAAAATAACCATCATTCTCTTTACATCTTTCATAACAATCTGTTTTTCTATTTATGGATGATTCAAAGTACTCCTCATGTGAAACGAACATTTTCCTAGGACTAACAACTGTTAGTGATAATAGTTTAGGCTTACATATCTCCTCTGAAGTCATAACAACAGTAACCATTCTCAAATACTGTTTTTAAACTAAAGTGACTAGTGCTATATGGAATCTTTTGATTACACTCAAACTATGGTTTACATACAATACAGCCACAGCGGAAAGTGAAGAAAAAATATAAATGACGGAAAATGAATCGTTATTTCATAGATAGAACGTAATTTCAGTATCATATAAATCATATAAAACAAGAAGGGGAGGAAGAAAAAGACGAAATGGAACATGAAGAGGTTGAGGAGGAAAAGGAGAAAGAATAACAACAATAGTAGTAGTAGCAGTAGTAGTAGTAGTAGTAGTAGTAGTAGTAGTAGTAGTAGTAGTAGTGGTGCAGCAGCAGCAATAGTAGTATTGGCAGTAGTATCATATTCATCATCATTATTACTATCAGTAGTTGTATTAGAAAAAAATAACAAGAACAAAATGGCAAAAGGAAAGAACATATTTAGCCCAACTGCCGAAATAACAGATTTAACATATGGCACAACAGGTGCATCCCATCCGTTCTACATGTGTGACATCAAACCTATAAATAACGCCTGGGATCTTATCTCTCTTATCAGAATCAGACTGTTTGCTATCGACATTACCCTAATCTCCGGAGATTGTGACTTTACACTGAAACTGCCGCTCTAACCAATGACAAAGATACAACCTTGCTATTTCGTTTGCTGGTTTGTTTGTTTGCATGTTTGGCTGAGGAAGTGCGACCAGCCAGGAAGAAAGTGAGGTTTGGTGTGTAGTAGCTGAGTTTGCAAGTGGATGTCTGCAGGTATGTATGTGTGTGCGTGTGTGTGCATGTGTGCGTGTGAACGTGTGTGTGTGTGTGTGTTTGTGTGTGTTTGTGTGTGTGTGAGTGTGTGTTTGAGTGCGTGTGCGTCTGTGTGTACGTGTGTGTGTGTGTGTGTGTGTGTGTGTGTGTTGTGTGTACATACATACATATATATATATATAGATATATATATATATAGATATATATATATATAGATATATATATATATATAGATATATATATATATATTATATATATATATATAGATATATATATATATAATATATATATATATAGATATATATATATATACATATACATATATGTATCTACATGCTTATGTATGCAATTATAATCAATAATCTAATTTAGTTTAGTTCCAGACAGGCTGTTTGCTCAATGTTTGCCTCTAAATCACCCCCCCCCCGTGCCCAAGGGAAGGCCGGGCTGATCATCCACTGGCAGCGAGGGATTTGAACGCAGGTCATCGAGTGTGCTACCGCTGCACCACACAGCAGGTATCAGTGTATACATCTACATCCGTGTTGTGAGGACTGTACTTATGCTGAACTATGTCTATCGCCTCAAGTGATGGAGTCTTAACCCCCCCCCCCCCGTGCCCAAGGGAAGGCCGGGCTGATCATCCACTGGCAGCGAGGGATTTGAACGCAGGTCATCGAGTGTGCTACCGCTGCACCACACAGCAGGTATCAGTGTATACATCTACATCCGTGTTGTGAGGACTGTACTTATGCTGAACTATGTCTATCGCCTCAAGTGATGGAGTCTTACCCCCCCCCCCCCGTGCCCAAGGGAAGGCCGGGCTGATCATCCACTGGCAGCGAGGGATTTGAACGCAGGTCATCGAGTGTGCTACCGCTGCACCACACAGCAGGTATCAGTGTATACATCTACATCCGTGTTGTGAGGACTGTACTTATGCTGAACTATGTCTATCGCCTCAAGTGATGGAGTCTTACCCCCCCCCCCCCGTGCCCAAGGGAAGGCCGGGCTGATCATCCACTGGCAGCGAGGGATTTGAACGCAGGTCATCGAGTGTGCTACCGCTGCACCACACAGCAGGTATCAGTGTATACATCTACATCCGTGTTGTGAGGACTGTACTTATGCTGAACTATGTCTATCGCCTCAAGTGATGGAGTCTTAACCCCCCCCCCCCCGTGCCCAAGGGAAGGCCGGGCTGATCATCCACTGGCAGCGAGGGATTTGAACGCAGGTCATCGAGTGTGCTACCGCTGCACCACACAGCAGGTATCAGTGTATACATCTACATCCGTGTTGTGAGGACTGTACTTATGCTGAACTATGTCTATCGCCTCAAGTGATGGAGTCTTACCCCCCCCCCCCCGTGCCCAAGGGAAGGCCGGGCTGATCATCCACTGGCAGCGAGGGATTTGAACGCAGGTCATCGAGTGTGCTACCGCTGCACCACACAGCAGGTATCAGTGTATACATCTACATCCGTGTTGTGAGGACTGTACTTATGCTGAACTATGTCTATCGCCTCAAGTGATGGAGTCTTACCCCCCCCCCCCG